GTAAATTTTTAATAAAAAGTTTAGAAAATAAACTTTGGAACTTCATGATTGAAGCGCATGCGCATTGCAACCATTCTATTGTTAACCCGTTCAATAACTGTTACATTGTTGATGTTGACCGGTTGCCTCCTCGCCAAAGCCTGCAGTGAACATGCGTTTTGTGGACCGGCACGTGATACGGTTTTGTCCAATCAGCAAACAGAAAAATTGAACTCTGACACTGACTATATAACAACTTAATTTATACGATCAAAATTATCAAAATTACAAAATGTGCGACGAGTATACTTTTTAAAAAACTGTAACGATTCACAGCCCTTCGTGTGGCTGTGCTTAACGTACTACTGTTCATATTTAATTAGTTTTGTATCAATTTTTAAATTTAATTAGGTTGCATTAATTGTTTCTAGGACAAACGTCAAGTTTTTGAACATGTGGACCGCGTAAACCGTGTTCTACGAAACCTGATCCTATAAATTTAATACTGTTGTCATGGTGACACATTTAGTATCAATGGCGACGGAACAGTTTTCCCATTTCTTTTTTTTTTTGGGGGGATAAAAATTTTCCGGACCTCACATATTTCCTATTTGACACGTTTTCTTTCATCTTTAATTTCCTAAATTTTTGCTCTACATTTGCCCAATTTTATATATAACCTACAAAATTTGGAATCTTATCCAAATTTTTGGAGAGAGGGGGGTGGTGGGCTTAGCCCCCCTTTTATTTTGGGGGGCTGTAGCCCCCTACTCCCCTAGCCTCTCTCGTTCCGCCGCCACTGTTAAGTATGCGTTGCCTGAATCCTGATCTGAATGCATGCTTAGATTGAATAATACTTGTTTGGCCATCAGTGGTTTCGCCTTCGTGTTTAAAACGGTATTTTATTAATTAAAGCGTACTCTTGATGTTAAAATTTGCCTATAAATATTGCTGATAGGCGTAAGAAGCAACTTCAGTCTGGAGGAGCCCTTCGTCTTAAGGGTGCCTCTTTTGTGAGAAAATGGCACTTTTCCAATTGCTAGGGAAAGGAAGATCTAGGTCGGCAGAACTTCACTAACATTAATTAAGGCGATTAAAAGTTTTGGCCATATGCATAGACGTAGGAAAAAACGTTAGGGTTGAAGGGGAAACATTTGCCCGACATTGATGAAAATTGCCCGACATTATCATGGATTTTTCATTGATAAATGAGTAGAAGGTAAACAGAAGGAATACATGTCCTATACAGACGCGCGGAAATAGAGCGGTTATAAAACGGTATAAATAAAAGATAGGCTACAGAACAAATGTACAAGCGTTTTGAGGGGAAACTGTGCAAAAAACAAAATAAAAAATGTACATTATACAGAGGGAAGCAGCCCCCCCCCCCCCTCGTACGTTTATGGCCCTATACGACTGCAACACTAAAATGTATAATTTGGCATCTGAACAGTAAAATCTAAAGTTTTCTCTAACATTAAACAGTAAAACTGTTCAGTAAAACTCCTTAAACGCTAAACGTTTTAGAAAAAAGAGGGAATGCAACTAAACAATTATCACCATTCACACCCTTCAACCCTTATGCAAATTTCACATATGATTTCGTATGTAAGAATACCTCAAACATGTGAAGTGTTCAATTCAACATATAGAATAATAATTTCACAGTCATGAACCTTAATTTCACATGTGGAAGAATGAAAACACGCGCCTCTGTGCCCTTTCCCCGGTTCCTACGTCTCTGATATTGTTCAAATACTCCGTATCTGCTTCAGTTTCAATTCCTGTTCATAATGACTGTCACGCTTGAAATAAATTGCTTGGTGATCTTTTGTTGGCACAAATAGTAGTCTCGCGAGAGCGTTGAGTTTGCAAGTCACGTTTCTGTGGCATCAAAGGTTAGTAATTTCTTCGTTTATAATTTATATGGGCCTGATAATTTCTTGAATGCTAGTCCAATATTAAAATAATTTTTGCCTTAATTGAAAGCTTGTAATTTTCTCTTTCGAACAAGGGTGATTTGAACAACAGCACAAGAGAAAATTTCGTACGGAACGCATCATTTTTTCAGATGCCGTTTAATTATGCAATTTTACTATGTCGATTCATATTCCCATACCTTTAAAATTTTTTAATTTCCTTGTTAAAGATCATCACAAGATTAATCATAAACAATTTTACGTTCTTCGTCAGCTCCAAAGTGTCGAACAAGGGCCATGAATGGAATACAATATTTAATAAAGGGGGTTCCTCAATATTTAATAAAGTTAGGGGTTCCTACATTTATCAAGCTAGGTCCCAACGCTCCTGACTGAAGACATTTTACAGCACTCCAGTGGAGATCTTAGCCTATATTTAATGACTGAGTATGAATTTCAAAATTATCATATTATGTCAGTATTGGCTTAAATAACCTAACTGATGATTTGTGTCTCTATCATCAAGATTTCGTTTCAGATAAAAATCAGTAAGAAAGAGGCAAAGTCCTTGGAAGGAGAGGAACAATCCCAGAATTTGCTGTCTTCCACTCACTTGTCTTAAGAAAAGTTTATTAAGTGCATCTTCCTTTCACTTTTGCTTTATAGTTTATATATAACTTGTGCATCTTCCTTTCATTTTTGCTTTATAGTTTATATATAACTTGTATATTTAATATTAAGAGGTTACGTGTGCAAAAACGAAATAACTGAAGGTACATATTGATTTGCATGAGATATCAAGTCGTGTTGTTGTGTTATATTTTTGCTTTATAGTTTATATATAACTTGTATATTTAATATTAAGAGGTTACGTGTGCAAAAACGAAATAACTGAAGGTACATATTGATTTGCATGAGATATCAAGTCGTGTTGTTGTGTTATATTTTTGCTTTATAGTTTATATATAACTTGTATATTTAATATTAAGAGGTTACGTGTGCAAAAACGAAATAACTGAAGGTACATATTGATTTGCATGAGATATCAAGTCGTGTTGTTGTGTTATATTTTTGCTTTATAGTTTATATATAACTTGTATATTTAATATTAAGAGGTTACGTGTGCAAAAACGAAATAACTGAAGGTACATATTGATTTGCATGAGATATCAAGTCGTGTTGTTGTGTTATATTTTTGCTTTATAGTTTATATATAACTTGTATATTTAATATTAAGAGGTTACGTGTGCAAAAACGAAATAACTGAAGGTACATATTGATTTGCATGAGATATCAAGTCGTGTTGTTGTGTTATATTTTTGCTTTATAGTTTATATATAACTTGTATATTTAATATTAAGAGGTTACGTGTGCAAAAACGAAATAACTGAAGGTACATATTGATTTGCATGAGATATCAAGTCGTGTTGTTGTGTTATATTTTTGCTTTATAGTTTATATATAACTTGTATATTTAATATTAAGAGGTTACGTGTGCAAAAACGAAATAACTGAAGGTACATATTGATTTGCATGAGATATCAAGTCGTGTTCTTGTGTTATATTTTTGCTTTATATATATAAAATATATATGTTTATGGTTATGGTTATGGTTATATCTATGTATATATAGAAGTTCAAAAGTTTAGATATAGGTCATAGGTGTGACTGTGAACAAATAACAAATGGCTTCTTTATTCAATGAATGGCTCATGTTTTGTAACAAAAGCATATATAGTCTAGGACCTGTATATGAGTTTGTATGCATTTCATTTAGGACAGATAATCTCAACTGTTTTAAGGCAAGTTGATCATGACGGTCAACATGGTAACGCTGCCCGAACCCCAATCCGGGGCGAAACGCCCGAAACCGACCACACCCAAAAACAACGCTTTCGCCATAGTGCTATCTACCAAACCATACTAGCTTTGGCTATTCTGAAGTGCTTATATGGTTCAGAGATGGTGCTTTTAGGGGTGGTCATTGGTAAGTGAGAAATGCCTAGCACTGATATTTCACAAGAAAATGACCATGCAATACTCATAGTCAAACGTCAATTTGTGGCTTACAACTTCAGATAAACAGCAGTGGACCTATATTACCTTTTTTCCTAAATCTTTTTGATAGAAGCCGGAGGAACTGATGTCTAATTCCATGCTAAAACTTGGAACCCCCAAGAGAAAAGTTGATAAAAAATTATGACCCCCTATTTTTTTTACTGAAAAATTTTTTGTGACCCCTTATCCTAACTATTAATAATCCACACGGTGTCGTTTCCATAGCGTTTCAGGGCCGTAGGAAGCTCTTTTTAATAGGAGGGCTGAACGCGAGGGCCGAAGGTCTGGGGAAATTTTTAAATCTAGAGTCTCTGAAATGCCATTTCCTGGACTTTGGGGAAGATTTGACAGAATTCTGATGGTCAGAAACAGCGTTTTAGTATGTCGAAATTGACAATTTGGTAATACTAAATGGGCGAACGCGTATTTATTAACTATATATTGGATAACTAGGATAAGTTGCAGGAAACTGTGGGTACTATCTTCATTTTTTGCAGTTTCTCATGGATAATGTAGCCGCTTAAAATTAATAAAGTTTAAAATTGATAAAGGTCATGATGAAATGCATGCAGACCTTGAAACCATGCATGATTTTGAAATCATGCTACGGTCCTGCGTTTTCTTTCATTCATGTTTTCACACAAAAACGGATAAAAACGAGGTCAATTGACGAACGTCATGGAAATGTTTTCCTATGGACTGTGTGAACAGAGCGTCAAATGAGTTTTGCTTCTTTGTTAAAGATGACAAGATAGCTTCTAGACCTTTTAACCATTCTTCATCCAAATATTCCCAAATTCTATAAAATTATATTGGTGACTTTTTCACTGATTATTTTTATGACCCCCTCCATTTATACCAAAACTATAAAAAGACCCACCCTTTTGAAGCATATCTAAATTGCCTGACCCACCCCCAAATTCCTCCGGCCCACACCCCCCCCAGCTAAAAATGAATGCTCCCTAAAACCAACAATCAACATTTAATTTGTTTGATCATATTACAGGTAATAATATGTATTTATTTCTCGCTACAAGAAATAAAACAAACGTTTGTATGATTGTATTTAGTTTTTAGTTTATTTCACGCAGCCTTCGTGAAAAAATTCAACCCCCTTGTCACGTGCCTAATACTTTGCCACACGAGATTTGTACGGAATGTAGTGATGGGCGATAACAGGATTTTTAATTCGATACCGATACCGATACTTTTAAGATCGGTATCGGCCGATACCGATACCTATTTCGATACCAAAATAAACACAAAATTTCAATTTTCGATACCGGAAGTGAGTAGTTAAATTATAATATAATAATAATAATAATAATCTGTTTAATTAATCACATTGCAGTCTCTACTGAATTACATGATTATAAGTAAATACATTAAAAATTAAATTTACAGATAAAATTGAGTTCAAACCGTTCAATGTTCGTTCTGAATAGTCAGTTTAAATCTGTCCACAAATTATAATTGGGTCCCTGAATTAATATACACGAGTACTACTAAATCAATAATACATTAATAATTATATTTGACAGTTATAAAATTTTGAAACCGTTCTGTGTTCGTTTGGAGTGACCAGCTTGATTCGGACCTAAGATTATAATTATGAGTATTTGGATGTATACGAGTTGCAACAACATCCTTAAGAGGATTTATAGGACCATTGTCAAGCTTCAATTTCCGAATAAATTGTTCACAGGAATTATGTCTACGCGTACTTAACTTTTTTAGACCAGTATAATTCAATGCGTCTTGATACGACATTTCGAGAAGCAAGATACGTAATGCTCTTCTCTGTATCGATTCGATAAGGTCAGACTGGCCTTGGGTCAGCGTTGACCACGCAGGTGAAGCGTACTCAATTCGGGACCGAATGAAGGAGGAATATATAGTGACAAGGTCTTTATCGCTTAACCCAGCCTTTTTTAACTTCCGCAATGCATAGAGTCTAGAATTTGCTTTTTTAATCACATAGTCGACATGATCACACCAAGATAGATCCTCTCTCAGTAGCACACCGAGCAGTTTAAAGGAGGATACTGATTGCACTGGCGAACCATCTATATAGATCGCATTATCAAGTGGAAGGTGGTATTGGAGGAAGGATATTGTCATCTCCTTACATTTCTTACTGTTAAGCTTCATTCCTCTACTTGAGGCATACTGAGATACATCATTTACGAGAATAGGTAGCAAACTAGGAGAGCAACGTGGAACAATTTCTAGTGCAGTAGCATCGTCTACAAACTTTATCCGCCCATTCCAGTCCTGTAGGAGGGAATTGACTAAAATGGCAAAGAGAAGAGGGCCAAGTTTAGTTCCTTGAGGTAGGCCACCGTTAACGGGTTTCCATGAGGAAAAGGATGGTCCGATTTTAACACACTGTTCGCGGAGGTAAGGAACGACTTTATCCATCTTATAATGGCAGGACTCACTTGTAATTTTAAAAGTTCATCAATAATGACATTATGGTCGACGAGATCAAAACCTTTTTTGAAATCAGCAAAAAAGATTCTTACAGAGCAGTGGCCTTGATCTAAAGCAGCATGAATCAAGTGGAGGAGATAAACGAGTGCCTGAGTGGTTGACTTTCCCGGAAGAGCAAATTGCTTTGGGTCCAATTTAAGACCCACTTCCGACATGAGGGACTGTAGCATAAATCCTTCCATCACTTTAGATACCTGAGCTGTGAGTGATATAGGTCTTAAATCGTCCTCAATAGTCTGAGGTGGTGACACTTTTGGAATGGGAACGACGATAGAACGTTTTAGCTGATCAGGGAAGACTCCCTGGAGCACTGATGTATTGTATATGTCCATTATGATAGGGGCAAATTCAAAAGCGAAGGTTTTCAGGATCCTATTTGGGATACCGTCTGGGCCAGGAGACTTCGTCGTTTTAAGACGTCGCAACACTGAATAAACTTGCCCTATATTTACGAGTAGATGGTTGGGAACTTCTGTCTCCTGGTCATCGGTGCATTCTAACAAGGGTTTAAAATGCGAAGTAAGTCCAACAAGATATCCGTTATATGACTCAGCAAGGTCCTCACAGGTGGGGTTTACTTCAGAAAGTAGTTGATGTACCCACGATTCCCGAGAAGAGAGGCCACCTATGGATTTAACCTCTTTCCACCATCTGGAAGGGTTTGCACTTTTCAACTGCTGCACGGAATTTGCATAGTACTTTCTACGTGCCACTTTAACATCCCGTTGAACTCTATTGCGCCAAAATCTATATGCTTGTGAATTTCTTCCGTACTTATAAAGTGATTTTTGTCGCTTACTAATGGAGGACTTAAGCGATGACGTCATCCATGGTTTATCAGATTCCCTAACACTAGTTGGTTTATTGGGGAAAAAACAATCCATCATTGCAGAAACTACCTCATTAAATCTCCGGTACTTCATGTTAGGATCAGGTATTTTGAATATCTCCGTCCAATCGGTAGATGTAATAGTCTGACCAAAATGTCTTATACTGCTATCTCTTAAATCTCTTTTGCATACTCGTTTATTACACGAATTCTCCAGACGATCTTTATGGGGTTTTATTAAAATGGCATTATGGTCGCTCGAGCCAATAGGAGGAAGCTGGCTTACATCAAAAACGACTTTCTTGGCATTTGTGAGACACCAATCCAATATGGCGTTGTGACGTGTTGGGACATTAATAATTTGAGTTAAACCAGACAATCTTTTCAACCGTTTTTCATCAAATAATGTACTGACAGGGTTAAAATCCCCAGTCACAAACACGAGACCATCAGGATGCAGAGAAAGGAAGGATTCGACATTACGCTGGATATGGTTGTACAGTTCAAAGTTCTCGTTGGCGCCGGAGGCGGTGGTGTGGTAAATGACTGCAAGTAGAAGAGCGGATATAGATCTTGGTAAACGCTTAGGTCTAAGTAGTAACCATAGGGATTCAATGGCTGAATCCTCGAAATGCTCGAGCCTCCTACAGTAAATTTCTTCTTTAATATAAATGGAAACGCCGCCACCGCAGGAGTATGTGCGATCATTTCTGAATTGGATGAAGTTCGATAACGAAATCATCGAGTCCACAACAGAGGTGTTAAGCCAAGATTCAGTAATGCATATGACCTCAACTTGGTTAATTTGAGCTACCAACTCTAGTTCGTCTATTTTATTAATTATAGAACGGACATTGGCCACCAGCAGGGTAGGGAGCGGGAAATTGTTATCACGAGCTACATACGACGTGGAAATGGTGGGTGCGTTGGCCAGGGTTGGGATAACCATGGCATCGGAAGGTAATTTGGGGGATACTGCTTGTTCGTTATGTCGCGTGGGCGCAGAAGGTAATTTGGGGGATACTTCTCGTTCTTTCAATTGAACAAATCAATGCTGGTTTCTTATTCTTAGCTACTAACAAAAACGATACAATTTAATAATGTAACTTTATACCTGCCGCAAATCTGTCTGTCCATGTGATTTTTCACTAAAACATTCAAAAATATTTAAATATATAATAGTACAAAGTAGATGCTATTTATATACATGAAATTCAAAAGGAATACATAGTGTGGTGGGGTTTTTTTATTTCATCATACATTTTGCACCATGTACAGTATCCACCTCCCCAAACTTAACTTGTTGCTCCTCATGAAAATAAGTATTGACTAATATACTTTTAATAAGGACACTTTCAGAGTTTCAGTGGCCAACATAACTAGTTCTCCATTTCAAAAACGGCTGCCACAAAACTTAACATAACATGATCCAAGCATAAAAGTGCCCTTATATCCGCAAAAATCAGGTACACGGTGAGAAAAACACAGTCAAACAAAAAATATAGAGCAAAATTTACTTGCATACTGGTGAAGACGCAAAAAGTCCCGAAAACAGTCATCGTAACAGGAACACAATGAACAACGTAGTCTGCTCGATTATGCGCATATGTAATGCTCCTCAACCCAGTTCACTTCCGTCCTCATTCGTTGTTCCTTTTCCCTAGTCGTCAATCTTAAGGTCCCTATTAGCAGCTAAAACTCTGACTGTAGCATAGCTAGGAGGGTCCGGGGGCCCAGAAATTTTTAAAATTTCAACCACGGAAATGCCATTTCCTTCGTTCTGAGCGTTGGAGTCCACCTAAACTCGAAAGGGAAGGTGCAGACATAAATGTCCTTGAAACGTTTTACAAATCATCTTGAAACATGGATAGGAAAAGCAAAGGACATTAATATTAACTAGCAACCGAAGGTTGATTGTGGGCTGAAATCCTAGAACGGTAGAGGAATGTTTCAGATTGCTCAGCGTGAATGGGCCCTCAGAGAGACGTATTACGGCACAAACAACGGCCTCAAAGCACAGGGCTCCAGCTGCTTGATTCCCGATTTAAAATTACTGTTATGCTTATTTCTAATGCTACTGCTGTTCATTTAAGACGAGGATTTTCTGTATGTCACGTATCTCGCGCTCAAAACTCAAATTCGTCGAAATATAAATTTAGAATTTTGAGCGGTTTCTCAGTCGGCAGACTCACTTAAAAAGCTTGATGGATTCATAATTAATGATATAAAACGAAAATAAAAGGATTTTGGAGGGTACGCCAAAGAGAAAATTACGTTTGAAATCTTGAATTTATTGTTGAAATCAAGGCTTCATTTATGTTGCGCTTGGTATACGACCATTGATGTTTATAATTTTCATATTCCTTTTAGTTTCTCAATACCCAGACATAGTTTCGAAGATAGCAAACTGTTTTGTCGAGACAATAATCATTGAATAACTTGATTTTGAGAGGAACGCCAAAAAGATTTCGGGTTTTGAACACATTTCGACGAAAATACGCAACATAGAAAAAATTATCCTCTTAATACAATGAGGTGTCGGACCATTTCGGAGGTGTTCGACCGTCCACGGAATTGAAATTAGCATCGGCACCATGGCAGATATATGACGCTCGTCGATAGCTTTTATCAGGAATTTCCAACAAGATAGATATCACTATAGTTCTTCAATAAGTAAACCTCGCGCTTCATCAACTTAACTTGCAATTCTTATACCTATAGCTATAGTCCTCTGGCGTGTATAAATTAGTCAAATTAAGCAATGTCTCTATTACCTCGGTTCTTCTAGTACGATGGACGTTTTTCCGGTTGATAGGTTTTCCAGCGTCAACGTCGTTCCCACGTCCGCAGTTATTCTGTTGAAAGCGAAGGTTCCCAATGTTCTCAGACCACCCAACAACAATGATCCACCTAAAGCGATGAGGGCTTTCTTTCGCAATTGTGCACTTTTGGTGCTTGCTCAGGCGGTGTGCGCACTGCGACCGCAATGCATTATTTTGGATATTTTCTTAAGGATGGCGGATTTCTAGCACGATTAAAGGTATGTTGGCGCTCTATTTTCTGCCACGTTTTAAAGTTTAAACTTTTTGTTTTTTATTAAAAAGGAAGTTACATGTAATATTGTTATGCCGTGTTACTTTTCAAATC